CTGAGCAGCAAACAAACATTATTAGAGCCTTCCGTACTCCCAGGCTATTTTCTGCTATGTCATTATTGCTGTGTAGTTGAATGTGCTCCTTGTCTTAACCCAGATAAATAGTAGCTGTATTAGAATATGTATATACATTGTGTGTGTGAATACAGACACACCCCATTCCTCCTCCTACTCTTCTTTCACCTCCTCAGCTACCATGGCCTACAGAGTACATCGAATTTTCATTTTGAAACAACTTCTCCTTAAAAAAATTATTTTAAATTATAATATATAATGAAATAAAAATAAAACCCAGGATGCTTTGATTTGTCCTGAAATGATTCAATTTGAAATTTTATTTAATGAAAAAAATCAAAATTATTTTATCATTCTAATTCAGAATGAAAAAAAATTCAAAATATTGGAATTTCTGGAGGAAAAGTAAAAGTAATTTCAAGTGCAACTCAACTCTTATTTCAGTTCCCTTTACCTATATCAGTCCTGCATTTAAACCATACACACTTCCCCATATTATGCATTACAAAGTATAATAATGGTAGTCCATCATGTTCAACGATGACATCTTGAGCTTGCACAGGCTCATCAGTTGTGGACTCACATGTGGCTGAGGAGTCCAAGCCTTGAACAGCATAGGCGTTCACAGTGGGGGCAAAGGAATTATCCTGGTTCTATCGTTGTGGCTGCTACTGTTGCTTTTCTCCTCTCACGAGCATCAATCAGGTGTATGCGTCACTGCTCTTCGAAGTTGTCAGACATGTGTTGTACGAGAGCATGCCAGCCTGTTCGGTCTTCTGCATGCTGCTCTATCTACTTTGGGTTTAATCCAAAATGAGCAATGTTGGCCTTTATGCAGTTTTTATACTTCTTGTGAGGCCTACCTTGATTCCTTTTGCCCCGGGAGAGTTCACCATAGAAGAGCTGCTTAGGAATTCTTGACTCCTCCATTCAAATGACGTGCCCTGTACAACAAAGCTGGGCTTTCAGAATCATGGCTTCAATGCTTGTGGTTCCTGCTCTGTCAAGGACTTCCAAGTTCGTGACTCTGTCCTGCCATCGAATGTGCAGTAATGACCTCAGGCTGTGTGTGTGGAAGTGCTCCATTAGTTTCACATGTTTTCTGTACAAGGTCCAGGCTTCACATCCATACAGGAGGTCGGTCAAGACTACAGCCTTGTACACTTTCAGTTCAGTGGACTGTCGAATATTGTGCAGATTCAACACTTGTAAAGAGAATGCGTAGGAAAGGTGTTTCGTGCACAGAAATCACTGCTGAGTTTGGAGTAACATCTGCTCATGTGAAACATACTATCTAGGACATGAAACTTACATGGCAGAAAAGTGCTGTGCCAAGTATATTGTATGCTCACAGAAACAAATGCAGTATTGACTGCAGCCCTTGACTTAAAAATACCACAACAATAGTTTTTTAGTGGCAATGCAGATTTCAAAAGTGCATTGCTGTGTGAAAATGTAGAATTAAGAGTGAGTGGAATTAGTTCAACTTTTCAAAATCTAAAAAAAAAAAAAAAAAAAAGTTATAGGAAAGGGCAAAGGCTCAGATGGATGTTAATTCCTCCCCCCCAACCAGCTCGCTCATATTTACACAATGCTTAGTGTGCAATGAAAGAAGAGTTGGAGCTCAAGCAACTAGATGCAGGGGTTCAAGCAATTTTTTTACGTTAATAATGGCATAGGAAGCCTGGAAGTTCTAAGGCTGTGACATTCCAAGCCTGGAGGTGCTGGGATTCGGCCCTGGCAGACCCTTGCACAGCTTAAGCGCTGGATTTACCATGGATGTGTTATCAGTGACTCCAGCAGACAAGCAGTCATGCTGGGCTTTTAAATTATTTGGAATCTCAGACAACAAATGATTGCCTCAAACTTGGTTAAAATACCAAAGTCACTGTGTTTCTAAATAGTAATATATTTTTCTTCCTTCAGAGGAAAGAAGCAGAGCTCAAACCCCAGGCACAAACACTCCTGAACCTTGGAAAGGTTCAGATCCAGATTAGGATCTGAACGTTTTGTTGGGACTCTGGCTGAACTACAGTATCACTAGTCTGCAAAATACAGTGAACGGTACTGAAGTATTAAAAGATGTCTTGCCTCTTTAAAAAGCAGTAGTGCAGTGAGAGTCAAGAACAGCTTTATCTCAGGATTAGAGTTGTCAACTTTCTAATGGCACATAGCCAAACACTCTTGCCCTGCCCCTTCCCCAAAGCCCCACGTCTGCTCCACTCCTCCTCTGAGGCTTACCCCCCACTCACTATGTCAGATCAAAGCCATTGCTTCAGGCCCTGTGTTTCCAGATGTGGGAGTATGGCACCACACTAGTTTACATTTGCGAAGTAAACCAAATGTGATGTTTGCACCCATAAAAATAAGCGTTTTTTTTAAAGAAAGATTAAATTGTGGAGACCCAGATAGCGTCATGACACATATACAGCAGGTAGGGTGAACGTCTGACACTGTGCAACAGTGTGGAGCAGCTGCTTAGTGTCCTTGTGCTGGGTTTTGAAACTAAATTCCAGAAGCCCCAAGTCCCAACCAATGGCCTATAAGAGCTGTCCGGAGTTTATTTTTTTTAACAGTGTTCCTCTCATTGGATGGCACTGTGCAGAGATGAGGGAGGAAGGGGAGGCAGCAGTAGGTGGCTCAGGCCTCTCTCAGGTGACATTGATAGGAGTCACTTTATCCTTAATGACATGCCGTTCTATAAGAAGCTGGGGACTACAGTGCCATCTCTGTACATAATCAGGACCGGTAGCTTTGGCGAATGCTGTTACCGTAGCATCGATGTCTCTCTGGAGGTGGTTTCCCTCTGAAGAGTGGAGCCTGTCACGTGTAGTCTACTTGGGTACGGCTTGTAATTATATATCCTCACTTTAGGTTATTGAGCCCGGTCTCACGTCATTGAAACGACAAGCAGACTCTCAGAATGTTACCTACGTATGCTCCTGTCCAGTCGTTAGTCTCTGGAGACTGAGGACTCATCAGTAGGTATAAGTAACTAGTAGGAGCTTCCCAATGCATGATCTGGTATCAGTCTCAAAGACATGAGAAATATTTGGCATCTAATGGGTACCTTGGTTAGGGTTTTACTTCATAGTTATATGGGTTGTTGACAGTCAGTGGCCAGCTTGAAATAATACTTTGCAAACACCCAGAGACCCTCTTGCTTACCCATAAATTTGCCTAGTTTTCTTCCTCTGTTGGCTGGATTTATCTTGTGTAGCACTGCACTGAGGCCGGTCAGAATTGTTTTTTATATAGTCTATGTAATAATTCCATAATCACATTCCACATGTTCATCTAGTCTGGTGTTGCCAGCAGGAGCCACTTTTGTTGATTTCAGTCATTACCAAGCAGCTGATAAATAACTTTCTAATGGGTTGTGGTGAAAGCGAACTTCCTATTGTATTTTTTTACGTATTCTGTGCATTCTGCTGCCTTACCATATGGCCCTCATCCCATTCACTCTTGCACTGATGCAGTAACGCCAACAAGTTCAGTGCAGTTACCCCCGTGTAAAACCCGTGTGAGACCATGATGAGCCCCAAGTTAATATCTTTGCTGTACTGGTAATTAAGGCATCATTTTTCAGTAATACTTTGTAAAATGTTTCACAGAGGATCTGAAAAGATGGCAAAAAATATTGTCTTTGATCACTTGGCTCCAGCTGCTAAACATTTTATACCGAGAAGGTAAAATGCTGATGTCCCTGCTTCAACTGGATAATTAAATGTTATACTGTTAGCCCCCAATGGGAAGCACTGAGTTGCAACTCTAGTTAGCAGCTTTGCTGGCCAAATGTGGACAGATTTAGTGTGTCATTTAGACTGCTATATATATGAACTCTAATGAAAAAATATACTATTCATCTGTGAAATAAGTGTGTGAGTGAAGGAGAAATTTTTGATCTCAGTGAGGGGAGGGAGGCGGAGTGAAACTCTGTTCACATTTTGTTTTTTGAATGTTTCTTGGCCTCTCACCAGAAGGTTTTACAGTCTGCTGCCTGCCTCTCAGATTAGAGGAACACTGGCATATTTCAACAGTTTCCTAGGATTCAAACAGTCTTTAATTAACAGTGAATGGATGTTTTGGAATGTAACCAAAACATGGGAGACACTGGAAGCAGAGATTGGGCTTGAATATTTCCTGCTCAATATCCTGTGCACTATGTTAGAATCTGTGGCAAGGGGCAAGCAAATCTGTAAAATCACCGGCCATTACAATCAGGTTTCCCCTTATTGGTATGCAAGGGGGTTTCTTCATTTACATAATGTTCCCACAGAATCGTTCAATGGCAGCTTTAGCAAGGAGGAGCTTTGCTGCCTGACAGAGTTCTGAACCAAGTCCTGCTAGCACAACAGCAAAAAGTATTTGTCAGTACCTTTTGAGCTATGCTAGCATTCAGAGCTTTGACAGACCCTCCTTCGTGTGGTATTTGTGTTATAACTGTGCATTCACAATAGAATTTTACTAATCAGCTCTTGAGGCAGCAAGATTCGGTTTGTTTGTTAGGTTTAAGTTCTGAAGTTATTAGGCTAGAGAAATAAACGAGCATATAATAAAATTTAGAACAACTGAACAGAAGAATGTTGGACAGTCACCAGCTGAAATCATTTTTACTGCACGGAAGATTTTTTTTTAAGTCTTTAGGAGCTAAATTGACATGGCATGGTTGAGTAAAGGGCTATTTTCAGCTTTGATTTTGACCTTGAATCAGGTTGGTTGACCATCTAAAGGAAAGTTTAACTTGAATAAAGGAAATGGAGGTTTTGCTAGCTAATTTTAGAGAACTGATTGATTTTCAGTCTTTCAGCAAAGAATAATAAACATTAGTTAAGCCTCTTGTACACTTAAAAAGGTAGTAATTTCACAATGGTAAATACAAATTTGTGTGTGTTTAACTTGATACTTGCTTAAAAGTCTTTTTTTTTTCATATCAATAATCACTTGCTTACTATCCTCGTTCATCTTTTTCCTTAAAGGTGGTACATGCCAGAGCCCTGCTCTTCCAGCCCTGGTGCGTACTCCAGCCCCACCATTACAGCCATCGCTGGATATTAAACCATTTCTTCCATTTCCCCTGGACACAGCAGCAGCAGTCAATCTCTTCCCCAACTTCAATGCAGTAAGTACAATACTGATGGATTAATGTCTATTCCACAGATTTATAATTCTTCAAAGACACAAGTAGGATCCAAATGGAACTTTGTCTTCACTTAGGGTCTGAGGACATTTTGGTATATGAGTTACAGGGTGGAGCCAAGAGGAATGGCTCTCATGATGATAGAATTCCATTGTCAGTCACCAACATGCTTGACTAAAAAACTTAAATAGTAACACATGTGCAGGGCAAAACTTCAGGGACAAAATGAAGCAACAATGAAAACATAACTAATACATAGTATACTTATCCAGTTGAATATCAGAAAACAAAATGATGTATTTTTTTTCTTTCAGCTGAGGATTTTTTCTTTGTTTTCCCTTAAAATTAAAATCCATGGTAGTTGTATTTTCAGTAATTGCTAATAATAAGCGATTCATCATTTTTGGGAAACATTTTTCTTATCCATTTTTTTAACAAAAGCCTATTTCATAACCCTTCCATATTTCCTATATCTGCTGAGATAATTAATTATATAGACAACATTGTAGCATGGTTTTAACTTGATATCATATTTGCTGAATTTTACTACTTGCCTGACTAAAAGCAAGCAAGCACCAATTGCAGGACTAAAAGCAAGCACCAACCATAGCCCCTTTTTACAAGATGCATAAAACCCTTTGCCTTGTGTGTAAATATTAGATATTGAAAAGGAATTACGTTAAGAAAAGATAGAAGCTGAAACTTTCAAATCAAAATAAAATAATTCTAATTCATATGTATTTGGAGCAGTAAAAGAATTCGGAGCAGTAAAAGAACATGTCAATTCTCTGTATAATTTGTAATTGATAAGAAATCTACCCCTCTGATACTAAGAAATCTAAGTAATTAAATATGAATCTATTTCTCTATGTTTATGGGTATTCTATTTACTATAGAGTAACTAAAATGTACTAAAATACAAGCAACTGTTCCCTTAAAGGAATATCCCTCTTTGAAAGACACCCTGTTAAGACTAAAATATAGTAAAATTAACTCCCCTCCAAGTTTTTCTTGCCTGTGTTACTGAACACATGCTTTCATATTCAGGGGCGGTGAAGCACCATTTCAATTTGGGGAGGAAGGGGCAAATTGAGGGAAGAAGGGAGAGGACATTAATTTGCTCTCCTTCTGAAAATCCTCTACCCCACCAGCAATCTGGTCCCTCAGGCCAATGAACCCATACACCCATCCCTCCAAATCTGAGTGAATGATGTTGCAACATAGCACATACCTCAGAGGCACTGTGACCCATGCATTGGGGTGCAGTGCCACCAACTCAGAAGATGACAAAGGGATAGCCAAACCACATCTGAGTGAGTGGCGTTTCGACTTGGTGCATGGGGTTGCCATACTATTTACCACTGGCCTCATAAAAATGTGGTCAGGCCACAGCCTGAGTTTTTCTCTCTGGTTCCATGGCTCCCTGGCCTATTATGAAATTGAAAAAAGAAATTAAAACCTTGATTTAAATGTCATGATTTTTGCTGCTTGCTTTTTGCATTTAATCCAGTGTGTGAAACTGGCCAATTACAATGTCTCTGTTTGTCAGTTAACTTGGCAGTTTTCATTCACTAACAGAATTGCCGTGTTGGCTGTTTGAATCCCTCAACATCTTCAAGAACAACTTAATAATTTACGAAGCCACATACACATCCTTTTGGTTTGTTTCTTTTTAAACAAAACCCGATTAGGGTTATTTGTCATGTACCATTGAGTGGCACTTGCAAAGACATACAAGTGCTTCGAGTGGCTGATAAGCATGCATTATAAGGCCATTTCAGGGAGTGACCTTTCTCCTCAGAATCAGTGCTTCAGAAAATGGCCTCAAAAAGTGAGTGTGTGCGTGTGAGAGAGAGATTTGGTGCATTCTGAGAGCTGCCTTCCTACCCATGTTTGCAAAAGTGATGGGTGTTTCTTGGGTGTCGCATCTTAAGTATTTATTAGCTAGGCATATATATTCCTACCATAGTACATTTTGAAAAACAAAGACGCATTACAAGTATTCAGGAAATGAGTAAATAAAAAGGGTCTTGTACCAGTAACCCTTTGTTGCGAATCACCAAACGTTTTTCTACTAGCAGCCCCTTCTTTTCTTGCCCCATCACAAACTGTCTCTGTCTCTATCCCCATCTTTCAGCCAAACTGGAACTAATGTATCAGGATCCCTAGTCCCTTGCAAACTCATGCAGTCTTACTGTTACTGTACCTCAAGCTGTACCTGATTTGCAGTAAGAAATTAGATTGGCATAACGATGTTGCTCAAGGGTGTGGGATTTTCCATATGCCTGAGTTACACAGTGAAGCTGATCTAGGCCCCCCCATGTAAACAGTGCTAGGTCAATGGAAGAATTCTTCTGTTGACCTAGCTGCTGCCTCTTAGGAAGGGGATTACCTCTGCTGCTAGGCGTAGGTAGCATTTATGCTGAAGCCCTACGGCAGTGCGGCTGCAACAGCATAGTGGAGCCTTATTTCAAGTATAGACAAACCCTGATTCTTTGCCGTCTGCTAAACTCACCTTTGCTGAATGTGACATTCCTGAACATGAGGATACAGTCATTCAAGCTGCTGCCATCAGCCTCCTCTCATACTTCATGGCTCCAACACCAATCCTACATTCTGTATTGCAGCATCACACTTTAAATTCCACTCTTCCATATGAACAAGATAATATTGAACATAGCTACATTTAGTTTGCATGCCGGCATTGGATAAAGGCACTTGGTAAACATGTAGGTCAGCCGAGACATCCTGCATATTTCTAAAAATTCTTTCCAGTCTGAAAAAATTCTGTGGGGACATGTCAGCTGCAGTAGAACATAATCAGCCTAAGGAGAAGGGAGAAAACAAGCCAGATCTGACTTTCAATTGGACATTCTGACAAGGATGTACATTTAGCATGAGAGAAACAGAGCAAATGTAATATTTGACAAAGATGGCTTTCCTAAATGTATTTGCTCATGTCTGATTTTTTTGAGGGGGAAGAGGGAGTGTGTAGAGTGTTTTATAGCTCACGATCTAAAGTTCCTTTACACTACCCAGTGAAATGAATAACTCATTTTGTTATGTGACTAAACTAAGGTCAAGCAGCAAGTCAGTAGTAGAATTGGGACTAATATCTAGAATTCTTGCGTTCTAACCCTGTGCTTTTAAAATGCTGTGTTATCTTCCATCTCACTACTAGTGGAGTTACCCATTCCAATAGCAAATATATTAGCATTGACCAAATTATTGAGACCTAGAAAGCATAAATCATATCTCAGGAAACAGACCCTGAAAAGACCCATCTGTCCCTCCCAAAGCACTAGCAAACAGATGGGATTTGCAGCATATGCATAAGGTTAGCAATTTTGGACTATGTCTGAGCAAACGGGGAGTGAGTTCCAGATACCTTTACCCCATGCTGCCAACTTTCCAGAAGCTCCTTGTCTTCTAAAGGAAAGGGAGAGGGAATCTAGCTTAAATGCTCTGCTTGTTTACAGCTGCAGTGGTGTCACAGGGGAGAGAACACATCTCTCAGGTAGGCAGGCCCCAAGCCATTTAGGGCTTTATAAATGAAAAACAATTCTGCCTAGACATGTGCAGCTAGAACAAATCATAGTGCAGTGAAGTCATTAATGTGCTCCCAGAGAACCACTCTGCTTAAAAGTAGGCTACATTCATTTTTCAATAGATCTAAGGAGCCAGATAACTTTCTGGATCTAGCTGAGCTAGACATAAAAGCAATGTAGAGTTATATGTGACTAGGCAATTCAGTTTAAGAGCATGTGTGCATGGGCACACATTGTGTAGCATAATGATGTCCTGATACTGATTGGGACTCCAGGAGAGATGGAGAGACAGCTGCTCTAGCTGTGGGAAGTACGGAAAGCAAAGGCAAACAAATTTTTATTCCTGTGCATACCCCTTTGGTGAGCAAGAAGCCCATCGTTATGCTTGAGTCTCAGCTTCATTTAGAGTTGCAGCTGTTTATACCACCCCCCGCCCCCCCCCCCCCCCCCCCCTCGGCTTCACCACTAAGTCAATGCCTCTCTCTCAGGGTAAATATGGCTTTTGAGGCCTAGTCGCCTCTCCGGGGTCAGGGGTTGATTGTCCAGGGTAGAGAAAAGAGTGTGTGTATGTGTGTGTGTGCGGGGGGGGAGGGGGGGACCTGGGCCCTCCCTCTCCACCAGGTCCCAGCCCAGGGCCCTTTAGGCAGAGACTATGGCTCCTGCCTGCTCAGCGGGGAATCCGGCCACTACACACCGAGCCACACTACCGGTCCTTTGCCCCGGGCTGCTTCCCACCACACCCTGGTACCCCTGTAGTTTTCTGGACTCCCAGATTGGCCTCCCTCGCTGCAGGGCTGTCTTTGCTTTTATACCTTGGTTCTGCTGGGAGCATACCCAGCAGGGCTGGAGGGGTGGGGCCTTCTCAGCCAGCTGGGCCTGGACTACTCCCTGACCTTCAGTGTGGGGGAGGGGCTCTTCGCCCCCTCATGACTACCCATGGATTTTAAAATGACAAAATATTCTATGGAGGCCTTGCGTTCAATGTATAGTTCACCTTCAGCATCTTGACTTTTTTCTAGCCACTTACACAATGCTGTAGTATTTAAGGCTGTCTATGGAGTACTTAGCCATGTGGGGGGAATATGGTGAGGCATTAAACAAACAGAATTGGGCAACAAGAGCAGCACTGTCTCCTGGAAAATGGATGAACATGCTTATAACGGGTAAGTCAGATTTTCCAGCCGAGCCTCCTTGGTTAGCTGGTGCCCAGGTAACAGAGGCCTCCTCAACCCCTTTCCTACACCTGTTAGTAGGGAGCAGTTGGGACTGGCCCTTTTGCTGGGAGCTGCTTTTCTCCCCCTGCAGGCTCGCATGCCTGCACAGGTCCAAGGCACTGTTCAACACAATTCCACCAAGCAACACAAAAGGTTGATGTAAGTAACCTGAGCAAGCGATCAGTAGGAATAGACAGTACACAAAACTTGGGTTTAGGAC